CTCCATCAACCGCACCCCCATCAACCGCACCTCCATCAACCGCACCTCCATCAACCGCATCTCCATCAACCGCACCCCCATCAACCGCACCATTCCACTATGTGGAACTGCTTTCTTGGAGCAGAGGAAGCAAGCCCAGGACCAGGACCATGGGAGGAGCCCGTTCCAGATCTCTGTCTGAAGTAGTGGAGGTTGAGACCAGAGGCTCAGGAGACTATGGGACAGAGCAAGAGGACCTGCACCGAGACTATGGGACTGTGAGACAGAGCCACAGGCAGGCTTCCTGGTCCAGAAAGGCCCAAGCCAAGGGATCCCATGGCTGAGAGGCTGAGGGCTGTAGAGAGATTGGCCTGCTGGCTGAGGAGAGGTGTTGTGATGATCTCCTTCATGCTTGCTGATCCTGGTGTGTGGTAAGCCGAGAGCTCTCCTCAGAGCCCCCTTACTCATGAGTACTGTCTGTGAGTCCTGTGTGGCCATTGCAACAAATTACCAAACCCAGACGAAGTCGAGTGCAGTGTAGGGAACAGCTGGGGTCAAGGAAGGTAAAGAAGCTGGAGCTTGGAGGCATATTTGACCCTTTTGCCATGAGGCAAACAAGGAAGCCACAGGAGGTCAGATATGGCCTACCATGCCATTGACTGCAGTTGCTTTTAGAGACCGAGGGACAGTCTCCTGGTGCCCAACCTCTACACAGACACGAGACAACAGAGGTCGGTGCAGAAGGAGTCAGTCATAGGTCTTCCTCTCCCCGCTCAGAATGACTGAGGGTTGTTCGCAGAAACCCACGCACCAACGGCACAGGAAAGGCAGAAAGTGACCCTGAAGTCTGGGATGGCGCTCGGATGCTATTAATATTCATCAGGAAATTAAAGCCGATTGAGAGTTTGAGCTGTTAGAATTACAATGGGCTCACACACAGGGACAAGTGTGAGGATGGTGCCGCACTGGGAAGTGCTTGGTTCTTTGGGCGATGGGGTCGCTAGGGGTGGGAACCGACTAACAATAGTAAGAAGAAGGCAACAGAATGCTTCCAAAATAGTTCATACTTGCTTCGATCAATGTCATGAGAAATGCTTGTGTAACAAACAGAGCAGTAATGGTGCCCATTTTTAAGACACTACTCTGTGCACGACCACTTGGATCAACATGGCTACCCCTTTACGAAGCTCTGGTGCAAATGCTGCAGAAGAGGAGACAGAAACAGAGGGAGAAATAACCTGCTCAGGATCCTCTAGCTCAGGGGTTCTCCACCTTCCTCATGCCGCAACCCTTTCACACAGCTCCTCATGTGGTGGGGACCCCCCACCATAACATTATTTTCATTGCTACTTCATCACTGTCATTGTGCTACTGTTATGAATCAGGAAACCCCTGTGAAAGGGTCGTTTGACCCCCAAAGGGGCCATGACCCACAGATTGAGAACCGCTGCTATAGCTAATCAAGGGCAGCACACAGCCCTCTCTAATTCCAAAACCTGTGTTCATTCCACGTAATCCATCGTGTGTGTTGAACAATCATACTAGACCTAAAGGTTTAGAAGAATTATACGTGGGAAGACTTCCAAACTACAAAATTGAGTAAATAACAAACCAAAAACCCTAAACCAAAGCCACTGCCATCAAGTTGATTCCAACTGGTGTGAGTGGGCTAAGTGCTGGGCCGCTAACCCGCTAGGTCAGCGGTTCCATGGGGAGCAGCAGCGCAGTGGGAGGAAGATGAGGCAGTCTGCCCCAGAAAATATTTACAGCTCAGACACCCACTGGAGCCGTCTTCTGCCCCATAGAGTTGTCGTGAGGTGGAAGAAGAGTACAGTACAGACTAATAGTCACCGCGTGCTCTCTTACTTATGCGCAACACCACCCAGGAGGTCATGCACCTACAAGGTCTCTGTGCACTTTTTTCAATTGTGCAATGTAAATAACACAACCTCCCCCACCCCAAAGCCTATGGCAAGGATGAAATGCAATGCCTACTCCCAGGTAAGTGTCCCATACATGTTAGCAATTATTATCATTACCATCATCATTATTATTCAAATGATATTTTTCAAATGATTGCATTACATGATGCAAACATTGCCTTCCCCACCGACCGAGTGTGTTAAGTGCACCCTCGCCAATGTCAACAGACTAGTTTAAAAGCACAATCGTCAGACAGCAACAGAGAGACGCTGGACGGTCCGATTCCCTTCTTACCGTAATGTTATGTACCACAAAGTCAGGAACTTCGTCATTGGTGGGATTGATCAGGACATCGAATGGTATCTCCACAGAGCGTCGCTCCCCATCTGTGACGTACACCGTGAACTGGTCGGCACGTGGCTCTATCCTCTGATGCTTGGACTGCACATAGTTAATGCGCACTGCCTTCATGTCTTTCCACCGGAACGAAGCTAAGGTACACCAAGATGGGACAGGTCAGTAAGGAAACGGTTTTCCAAAGCTGCTGGTCCTCAGTCCTTAACCCAATGACCTATCTTGCCCAACAAAGCCAATGAGAGATCATGGCGGTTGACGTACATATCAGCTAGCAGAGGCTGCTTCCATGAATTCCAACGATGGCCTGAAAGCAGAGATACATGGGCCAGAAAGCAGGATTAAACTTTACTTGGAAAACAAGGGAGATCACTGCTCACCATCAGGTAATGGGCCTTTCGGGCCACTTTTCAAACACCTGGAATGAGAGTCAGAGTGCCCTTCCTTGGATTAAAACCACTGCTTCTACATAAAGAGTTGTTGGCATGCTTGAGGGAGAAAGGGGCCAGCTCTTTCACATACAAGTGAACAAGAACCCATCGATCATATCTCCCTACTCTATGCCCGTACCAAGCAACTAATTGCATCGAGTAGACTTAGCTGAGCTGCTGTTTGGTATTTTGACATCGTCTTTAATAAAGAGAGAAACTGCTTCAAACTGCACTGGGCCCCAGGAGAAATTGGGTAACCTTAACTGCAGATCCTCTTCAATGCAGCTTCTACCATATTTAAAGTTGATATGCTTCAAAGGGTGCTGTGGAGAAGCAATTATTTCCAAAGTGGATCTTTAAAAGACTTTGCTTTGTTTGAAATACAAGAGCTGTTTAGAGATCTGCGCCACCTTTTGGTTTCAAAATTATGTCAACATTTCAGGCTTCCCTGCTCTCTAACATCCACAGTCTGTTTCTCAATATTTCCCACTAATATCTATGGAAAAAATGCCAAAAATTTGTGAGGATGAGACCTGGCCAACTCACTGGTGTTACTATGAAGGCCTTTAATAAAATAAAAAAATAAACTTTCTTCAAATGTTATTCTCCTATTTTTCAGAAGTAAAACACCTACGTATTACTTTTTTCTTGTCCATGAAAACAGAATGATTATTCTCTGTTTTTGAAACTGTCTTACTTACATATGGTTCATGTAGGATACAACTCGACGGTTTAAATGCATTAAAAAGACCTGTGCCTTCTTGCCCACAATCAATTTTTGATCACTTTCTGAAAGCAAACAAACTTACGTGCAAGGGTGAATTAAGGATAATAAGACAAATAAATAAATATAGAAATAGGATTCTAAAGTCTGGGCCATAATAATAGTAATTCCCCGAATGTATCTGGTGGCTTCGCGTCCTTTAAAAGTCCTTCCTTAGCCAGTTACCAAGCGTGATGAGTCCCATTAGAGACATGCATGTAAGCAGCAAGTCACTGCTCATCCCGAAACCATGACTTACCTATACTTATGCCCGTATTGCTTTTTTCAAAACCCGCAGAAGGGAGTGTGTTTTCAATGTAACCAAACTGGGGAAGAGAAACCAAAACAAACTCCAGGTCATCTGCGGCAGTGTCAGGGTCGGTGGCAGACAAATGGTTAACGGTCACCGGCGCCCAGAAACCCTCGTCCACGAGGAACGGGGTACCTGCATAGAGATGAGAGCACAGTTACGCTTGTGTGGGATCCTCTCATCAGAACAGCCCGGACCAGAGAGAGGGGGTGAAATTCCAACTCAGAGAAGCCTCCCATCCGCAGTCTTCCCCGAGAGACGTTCATTGCCTTCAGCACCAGTGTCCTGACAGTGCAACTGTTCGGGGCTGGGGCTGGGGGTGGGAATTTCATTTGACTTATGGAATTATTATTATTTTCCCCAGCACCAGCAGCCAGACAACAATGGAGAGACGGCAGCAACGCCAAATGCTCTTGCACGGCCCTTCCGTCGTCCTCAAGGAACTCTGATTTCCCTTGTGTGCCGATCGAAGTGACAAATGGAATAAGAATTGCCAAACAGTCCTAATGATAAGCCACTAAATGTAGTTTATGTACGCTTCAAATTCAGTTGTTACCTCTGTTTGTCAGAGTGCTAATTGCCTGAGAGCGATTATGAATCGCTCATAACGAATCTTTTTTTCGTGCCTTGGTGCTTAATTATTCTGCTGGGATAACGCTTCCTTTCCAGAACATTGCTTGGGAGAGAGTTTGCAAATTACAGTAACATTCATACACATGCTTGTGGGTTGTTGGGTGGGTTAGTTGGTTGTTTTTCTGGAGAGACAAAGCATACAGAATGGCTATGAAGCAATGCCTTTCTGAAACACAAATAAGGTTAAGTAGATAGTCATGAATACATATATATAAATACACATAAACATGCTTTAGGTCTTCCCACGTATACAGTCGTGCTGAATGTCTAGGACAGTGTGTGAAATGGGATGTTATGTGATTTGGATGTTGTTTGACATGGGCAACAGCATTTACTTATTCTCCATCTTAATGTTGTTTAATAATACTTCGTTTCACTTCAAAATTAACACTTCTCTTTGCCTCCCATCACTAGAATGGGCTTGGGTGCCTTTGGGAGCCATGATAGATGTCATGGTAATTTTTTTTATGGAAAATGAAACAGAGGGATAATGGGACATTATATCAAGAGGTATGTGATATTCAAGAGTAGATGCTGCTGTGTATGAATCAAAGCAGACACTTACATAGTGAACTTTCTATTTTATTAACTTTCTATTTTTAAGTCAGGAGAGTTCATATTAAAATAATGATAGAAAGAAAGTACAGTACATACGTATGCTGTAACGGAAGCATTCATTAGGACTTTCAAGACATATGAAATGATGTGGCAACATATGTACAAATGTACTTGATACAATTGCTGTATGGATTGTTATAAGAGCTGTAAGAGCCCCCAATAAAATTGTTTATTAAAATAAAATGAAAGACATACGCATGCTAGCTTATATATGTACTGTACTATCATACACCTGCAAGCACAATCACGTTGTAGACAAGAGACTGGTGAGACAGATGTTGTGTGCAGAAAGATGTTGTGTTCACTAGTCCAGTTATACCTGCTATGTGCGGTGCTCCAAACAAGACTTCTGAATTCTATTATAGCCTTATGGGGCCACCGATGTATACACAGTCATAGGATGCTTGAGTGGACACTACACGGCACATGATTACATATAAATGGTCTCTCCGGTATATACATTCTGTGTAATCAATGTTACTGTGGATAAGATCAATTACTCTTGCTTCAAAAGATAAATATTTTCCCCATGTGCCATAAAACCAAAATTATTTGAAGGTTCTAGTTGTTCTCCTCCCAACACACACACACTCTCTCTTTCTCTCTCTCTCTTTACCCTCATTCTACATATAATTATCTAAATTTTCAAACGAGTAAATTATTTTGTGCCATACCCTTCATAGGTGGAGGAGTTTCCAAAAATTTGCATTGAGGCAAAGCTTAGAGGGCAAATCTACAGGGTGGTGTTCTATTCTGACTATCCGTCGAGTGTATGATTTTCACTAAACCACATGCAGGACACTAGGGGAGTCATTAGGATCTCGACACAGAAAAAGACATTTTCACCGATTGCGATGGAAGGTGGCTGGTTGTCCACTGGCTGCACCGTGATGTTGAGCTCATACGCAGGGAAGGACCCGTGGGGAGGGACAGATGGGTGTGGTCCGCTGTAACAACAGCCGTTCACAGAAGGGCCGGCGAGTCCATCCGAAACCACCAACGTCATGGTGTCAACACAGGGCACCAGGCCAATCTCACCACCTGGAAGGCACAATTCTAGCTGAAACCTGACTTTGGAAAGAACAAAAGCAAATTCCAAAATGGAACGTAGTCACACCTCTTCTCGAACATCAAGTAGCAAGGAAAGTGACCTGGGTGGATAAAAAAATGTGAGCCCCCATTTTGTCACTAGGGAATTAAATACAGCCCTGAGAGTCATGAAGAAAGACTTCCCCATCTGGTGCCTCTGGTGGGATCGCTGGCAACCACCTATTACCATACGGAGGGGCACACGGGGCTAACAACAAGGCTCTGATTGCACAAATGAACAAGGGGGAGGCGAGAGGCTGGAGTTGGGGGTGGGGTTCATTCTCCTCTTAATTACTCCGAGTTAGGACCAACCTCAGGTAGAGGCAGAAGGTGCCCTGGTCCCTTCGGTAATTGCTATCCATTTGCATTGCCCACCGTAAATGGACAACCACCAACTACAGAGCTGTTAGGAGAAACGGAAGAAGATAGGTGAATCAGAAAGATGATACTCATGCTGGACATGTGCTTAAATCTTTCCTCCCTGTTTATTAGCCATGAGGTTTTTAAAAAGGCAAGAGGGCCTGCAAAACACGTGGCATACACTGTAGACTTCGTCTTTTTTACCCAACGAGGCAACGGGTATCCTAACCAATCATTGTGTTGCGAAATCCACATGAAAAATATTTCAAAAGATGGGGAAAACACGTGGCATGCACTGTAGACTTCATCTTTTTTACCCAACGAGGCAACAGGTATCCTAACCAATCATTGTGTTGCGAAATCCACATGAAAAATATTTCAAAAGATGGTCTCCCTTTTCCAAAGGCATCCTTAACTATCACATTACCTTCTCTGTGCCCCCTAGTGCCCTGCTGGAAATCTCTGGTCTTGAATGATGATAGAGTTCTTATTTCCCGTACCGCTCATCAGGCTTGATGGACCAATTATATGCTCTCCATGAAATCTACAGTTCAATGAGGCATACGGAGGAGAGTGGGAGGAGCCCTGGTAACATGATGGCGAAGCCCTGAAAGGGGCTGCAGTTTGATCTTGTACAGTGGCTCCTTGGTAGAAAGATCCAGTAATCGCTCCCCATAATGGTTATAACCTAGAAAACCTATATGGGGCAGCTCTACTCACGCTATGAGTTGAAAATCATACTCGATGGCCATTAATGGGAATAATGGAAGAGTAACTAGGGAAATGATAATAAATCAAATCAAGCTGACTGCCTAATCATAGAGACCCTATAGAACAGGGTACAGCTTCCCCTTATATGTTTCTGAGACTGTAGCTCTTTAGGGAATAGAAAAGCCCTACCCTTCTCCCAAGCAGTAGCTGTTGGTGTAGAACCGGGTGCGGTGTAGTTAGCAGCGCAATGCATAACCACTACACCATGAGGGCTCCTAGGGAAAGATGGAGTATAGTAACAATCATGGAGTATACCGTATGTACTCGTGTATAAGCCAAGTTTTTCGTGCCTCGGCTGATATGTGGGTTGGCTTATACTTGAGTATATATGGTAATTAAAACCAGACACTTTGGTGGAATAGCTGGTTAAGAGTTAGGCAGCTAACTGCAAGGCTAGTAGTGCACAACCACTAACTACTCCTTGGGAGAAGATGTAACTTTCTGTTCCCATCAAGATTTATAGCCTCAGACACCCACAGGGCATTTCTACTCTGTCCTATAGGGTTGCTGTGTGATGGAATCAACTTGATGGTGGAGGGTTTGGGTCTTTTTTGTTGTTGTTATTTTGGGGGTTTTTTGAGGAAGTGTCCCCACCTCAACTTCAGAAGCTGTGTGAGAGGCGGTGCTATAGTGGCATGTAGAGAAACGGCTGTGTCACACTGTCATCCACGGAGAGAAATGGCTTTTGCCTATTAGAATTAAAAAGCCTGGTCTATTTGAGTTAACAGCCCTTGAAAGTAGGATCTAGATGAAGCTCTTTTATAGTCCCCCGGAGGCCTCCTACTCTTGTACCTTGCAGATACAGATGCTGAGTGAAATTTTTTTTTTTTAGTTGAACATTTCACATGCCACTTGAGTGACAGTATAATAGAATGACCACAATGTAAGCATGATGCTGAGAAGTAAGCCTTGACCATACGCATAAATCTAGGCTCACCACTCTGTGTGCTATGGGAAAGCCCTGCACCCTAGAAGACATCCTCTTTGCTCCCCAGGAACTCAACAGGCAGAGCAGATAGCTCTTAGGTCCTGACTGGTATCCAGTAAGACTAGAATTGTCTGAGGGAGTTTACTTTTGACAATTTCATCATGATTTACAGATCCATAAGCCATTATGGAAGGAATCCTAAAGACATAGCGGTTAAGTGTTTGGCTGCTAACGAAAAAGAGGTTCAAACCCAGCAGCCACTCCACTGAAGAGAGGAGTGACAACATGCTGCCATAGGGATTCACAGCCTTGGGAGCCCTGTGGAGCAGCACTGTCTGTCTTACGGGGTTGCTGTGAGCTGGAATCCACTCCATGGCCATGTGTTCTGGTTTGGTTAAGCTGTGAGGGGTATCTCTCTCTGATGGCATAATGCGTAAGCACTTGACTGCTAACCGGAAGGTTGGTGGTTTGAAACCACCTGGCAGCTCTGTGGGAGAAAGACCGGGGCTTCTGCTACTATAAAGATTACAGCCTAGAAAACCTCATGGAGCGGTTCTGCTTTGTCAGACAGGATCATCATGAGTCTAAATTGGCCTCACGGTGCCCATCAAATGCAGCGAGTGCTGGTGGTCACACACAGTCTTCCCGTGGACCCAAACGGAGATGCGGAGGATCCCAGGTCGACTTGAGAGTCCCTGTGGTAACGTCAGGTACAGACCAGCGAGTCACACTTGCCTTTCTCCATCCTTGGAATTGATTTATAAACTGTGATCAGCAATACTTTGAAATACGGTGGTCATCGTTGAAGACTGGAGTGCAGGTGGCTACTACTCTTGATTTTTAAACAGCAGCGAGCCGTTCTATGATGGCAGCCCGTGGTGGGAAGTGGGGTTAAGACCCTGTGTATTGTTTGCACCCCTCCTCACCCAAACTAGTGTCAGATGCTTACGTCATTTACCTGTGTGTTCATATGTCACAGCCCCAGAGAGAACGTCTCTCTGAAAGAACTGCTCGGTGACCATTCCAGCGCTCTTCACCACCCCCTGCCGAGGCTTCTGAGCAATCACGAACACCAGTTCCGAGTCATCGCTGTCCACATCAGTAGCACAGAGGTACTCGGGGGTGATGATCACCTCTCCTCCCTCTGAGCAATGCATCATGGGGCTGAGGTCAGCCTTTAGGACCGGGGGCTCATCATTTACAGGGAATACCTAAGCAAAGGGGGGAGGGAGGAAGGGATGTTTTTCAGAGAAAGAAAGAGATGACAAATGGTCCAACTGGTAACCCATAGCTCATAGTCAGAATGACAGGCACTTTCGATCTTCCACACACATGAAACAATAGATATGGAACTTGGCCAAGCAGCCAGCATCTTAAAACTGGTCCCACATGAACCGTTTGGCAGGAAATGACCCACATGGGAGACATTTGAGGTGGAGATGGGAGGGTATGGTTATGGTCTGAGACTCAGAACTCTCATTTGTTTCAAAACAGACAAAATAGAAATGTAATATAAAGCCCTCTCTCCCCCCCAAACCCATGTCCTCCTTCAATAAACCCACATATTGGCGAGGAAATCTGGTCCTTGTGGTCCAATGCACTCACATTTACCACATCCAAGTTATTTTTATTCCAAATTACTTGGTGATTACCAAGCTCCCCTCCACCCTGCACTTCCTGCCACCCAGGAAGTTACTCCAAACTTACAATAGGCAGCAGCTGCATTCCAAACATTTTGAGTTAAATTTGAAACCGCAGAAGCATTTAATCAATGCCAGCTTTTAACGTGACAAAATGTTTCCCCCTCACTGTCATGAAAATAAAGCCCCATGTAGGAAGGACAGAAAAGCAACGTGGCATTGTACAGAGTCTTTGGATAGAAAAGGCTGGAGCAGAAATGACTTAAAGCATGTGGGTCACTGAAACACACGGAAGTGAGGACAGCCCTCCTCTGAGCTCCCACTCACAATGGTGCATGCTGCTGCACGTTTGTCAAGTCTGACCTGGAAACACTCTCAACTGAATGTCCATTTCCTTCCCTAGGCTTCGCCAAAGAAAAAAAAAGACCAGGTTCCTCCTGTGACAATCTTCGGTGGCTTCCAGCGTTTCCCTGCAATCTCTCCACCTTCCTCCATGCTCACGGTTCGTCTTGCCACCCACTCCATGCTCACCCCAACCTTCCTCGCGGCCCCATCTCAGAGCCTCTGGCTCCTCTCTCCTCCACAAGCCTACTACTTTGGAAGGCTTCTGCTATGAATTCCTTCTTAGCACAGTTGATTTGTAGAGCACATCCCAATCTTAAATAATTGTTTCCGTGGTGATACGCTTGATGCTTATAAGCTGGTCTGTAAGCTCTCAGGGAACAGGGGCACTGACTGCCCTGCTGGTCATCACATCCCAAGCCTCTAGCCTAGGACGGGGTCCCGCGAGGGCACTTGTTAAATATTTGTGGAATAAATAAATTAATGAAAATAATTGTGTGTATATATACATATAGATGTACATGTCAGTGTATATACATACGTGAACACTTTTCACACACGCACATATATTCTGGTCATGCTGCAATTTAAACAGGTCCCTGGTGGAGGAAATGATTCCAGACAAAACCGACAGATCTGTGATTTGAGACCACAAGGGCACCTGCCAAGAAAGGCCTGACATCCTACTGCCAAAAAGTCAGAATGACTTTAAAGATCATGTCTATTGTTCAAACACCATCAATAACAGACTGTTCCCCTTAATTCCCTGTAACTTGTAAGTGATAAGACGGTGAACTTGGATGGGAGGCAGATTATTTCCAGACAGAAAAATAATGTTAAAAAGCTTTTTTCTACCCGTAACAGTAGAGGCCAGTGGGTTTCTGTGAATGGGAGAGGAATGACAAACAAGGAGGTGAAAGTGAGTGTACCCACAGAAGAACAGAATTCTTGTTGCAGAATCGATGTTCAGAAACTATTGAATGGGCGTATATTGTGTTACATACATTCACAACAACTGCAACAAACAAATAAATAGATACAAGAATTTAAAGAACTGAAAAGGAAAAAATTCACTGAGATTTTGAAATAACCATTCGCTCTTGAAATAGCACCTTAAGCTTCACCAAGACCTGAGAGGCTGGAGTGAGAGCAGAAGCGAGAAAAGACGAGGCTCCCGGTGTCTCCAGCATGAGACGCGCGCTCACAGAAGACCAGTCTGCCTGGCGATGATGCTCAGGGACCGTGGTCACTGAGAACTGCGCTGGCGGCAGCGAGAAGGGATGGATGAACGAATGGAAGTGCCAGCAGGGGGTCTGCCACTTTTAAGGGAAGTGACTTTGTGGGTGTCCTTGAACCTTCTTGGCTCAGCTGTGAAAGGAGGATAATCCCATCCCTATCTGCCCCTTAAAATAATAATATACGTAAGTATTCTTTATTCACTATTCACTGTCAGCTATCTACAAATGTATTGTTATTACCACTAGTAGTGGTAGTTCAGACAAAACTCAAACAGCAATGTAACTTACATGAATACCGAGTGGCTCTGCAAGGAGGCCTGTTAGCAGACCTCCCATGGTCACTACTGTACATCCCATTATGGGCCATGCTCAGGGACTCAGACAGAGCCCCTCAACGAGGAAGCTCTGGAATTCCCACCGAGCCCCTGGGTCTGTACTTAACTTCCACTTAACCTGTAGAAGTTCGTCTTCCATTGTCAAAAGGACAGGAGGAATGGTTTCAAGTGGTCCTCATGCCAAAGCTACTGCATCCCACACATGTTTACATGCTCCTTGCACACAGCAGAGGCAAACCCAGTCATCCCACCCAGTTGCTAAGTAGATAGTTTGAGTGTTCAAGTCATACAAGTACCAGTTGTTTATACATGTAACCAATGACCTGTAAATGTAAATCAAGTATCAGGGTGTGAGGTAAGTAAGACCCTTTAAAGGCCATTTCTTCAATATAACTTCTATTCTCCATTGCGTGGTCAGAGACCTACAGAGATATGAGAAGGCATCCTCTTGTGTTAGATTCCTTGTGTTTTATGCTCTACCAGAGACCCTGAGACGCTTCCAAACCACAGGTTTTATTTCTCTATGACCCAGGGAGGAAAGCATCTACCCACCTTGACCTGTAGAACAAATTCGGCAGAGTTTGTGCCATCAGTGACCTCCAGGTGTATGTCATCCTGAAGTGTCTCAGATCCATCATGCTGATACCTACGGGGATGATACCTGTTACTAAGACATCAAGGTCATGGCAAAAGTCCTTTGAGGTGATCAACACAAGAGGTCATCCCTGGACTTGGCCTTGAGAGGCTGTGTTTGTATGTTCAAAAACAAAACCTAACATAATCATGAAGCCACTTTAACTACTGAAGGATCCCTGAATATAAGATCACATCACCCTGGAAAATGTGTTTCAATAATCATTGACATTCATCATGTGTCCTTAAATAAAAAAGCAGTTTTTCAAGTTATTATTGTGACCATGAGAACCTCTTGGCATTTGGGCTGGGCCAAAGAGGACTCCAAGACTCAGAAGTAAAAGAGGAGAATGATATGCTGGTGAACGTTGATGGTCCCTGCCTCTCTCCCCCTCTTGGAGGTCAGTCCTTTCACCTGTGTTCGGTCTCTCTCTAGCCCCCCTAAACCTTGCTCTATGAATGACTGCCTCTTTCCTACCTTTTGCCAACTTTCATTCACCAGCTCTCTTTAAAGAGAGCTATACAGGCTTTTTAACATCTCCCAGTCTTAAAAGTACCTTCGTTTGGCCATATCTTCCTCTAATTCTCAGTCATGTTTCTTGAAAGAGTTGTCTAACTCTAGGTTTTCCATTAATTCTTCAGTCTACTGGGGTGCTACTTGGTAATAACTTCTAAATATCTATCAAGTTGATTTATGCCCAAGTTTTAGCATGCTAATGATCAAGATACTCAGAAGTGAAAATAACCTCTACGAATTAAAAAAAATAATGATGGCATCTTGAATATGTAGGATATTTACATGTAAAAATAATCCCAGGGCTGAAGGACATTTATGCAGAACTATTCTCACTCAGGATGGGCTAGGACCCAGGTTAGGGATTCTAATTCCAAGGAGAAGACTCATACCCCGGGATCCCTGCCACATACTGTAACATCTATGTTTTAATTTGATATCTTCCCTATTATTCTAATCCCTTGATAGGTGACATACTAATTACCTTTACTATGCCAATACCCACTAAAATAGCCAGTAGGTCTAAAAGTATTTCAATACAAAGCATAAATGTGGAGTCAAGTATGTTATATGTATGTATCTATGTAGTATATCACTTCCTTCATGGGATAATTTCTCAGTCTCTCAGAACCTTCATTTCTTCATCTGTAATATGAGGCTATAATCATTTACCTTGTAGGGCTTGATTGCTGGGAAGCTTAGATATAAAAACATAATTGCAAGGCCCAGCATGGAACTTGAATTATATGTATTTGAAAATGTTGGTACTTTTCTTCCTACCCATCATTCACTCCCTGGAAAGAATTACCTAAACAGAGCAAGATTTTGAAGATGTAGTTGAAATCTACATTTTTTTTAAAACCCTGGGGTATGAAAGTTAGCAGACTAGGAGTGTATTTACATAGGAGCCTCCGTTTATTTTACACAAACCAAGAAGAGTCTGTCAATGGTAGGTGGCATCTCCAAGCTAGCCCAGTGCTGGCACACAATGAAAGGATCCTAAAGTCACTCCGCCAAGGGGCTGGGGTTGTAAGTCGACAGTGTTAACCGAACTGTAGAGAGACCCTGCTGCTCTTCCTGTGCACAAGCCCAGTTCCTAGTCAGATCTGGAACTAAGCAGTAGGTGTCTAATATTTCATACTTTACCAAAATCCCCATTTATACCTTGAGCATCTACGTGAGAAATGTGCCAGTATGTCTGTCTATTGACCATTACTTTTGAATCGCTTGCCATTTCCGAGAGAAGGTATGTTATGAGTACCTTATTTTGGAGAGTGGTATCCTACAGGATTGTACAGGTAGAGGAATGAAGAGGGGTACTGCCGTCGGATCATGAGGGAGGGACCGCTCCAATCCTGACTAACAGAGACCAGGAACTGTTCCCTACCCTACTCACGCAGCTCAACCTTCTGTGTCCACCAACATCGGCAGCACAGCGCAATGGAGCAAAAGCGCGTATCAAAATAACCAAAGAGATTGATCAAGCAAGTTCTATCCCTGAGTGCAAGGGTTATGAAATTAGTGGCTTTACTGAGTCAAGTTCAAGGCTGTAGAATAGCGTCCCAGTATATTTCAGTCTACATTTGTCTAGCATGACTATCATTTTCTGGGACATGCACAGCTCAGCAAGTTAATACTTAAGGTGGTAGATTTGTGTTGTTCCAGTACCCTCAAAGCCCTTCACACTGGTATGGCGAAGCAGCGGCGACTGGAGGTCAATCACAAAGGTCTACTTTCTGATCTTAAATGGACACTCTGGAAAGTATCAAATGGCATCTTTGTAAGCCTCAATGGACTGGATAAATTTTCTCTTATTCTGCCTCACACCAGATCCACATGAAGGGTAAAGACACAAAAAGACACACAAGAAAGGAAAGTTCTAACCTAACTTTTAGGGCATGGAGGTCTCCCCAGGAAAATGTGCCCCCAGTGTTAACTGGCAATCCATCCAGCTCCAGCCTTCCGTGGAAAGGTGGTCTCTGAAGGGTGAGGTGGATCTGGTCCAGGTTGGTGTCCACATCCGAAACCAGAATGTGTTCGGTGCTGATGATGCATTGACCGCCCTCCGCCACTCTCAGGGGCGTGGTCAATACCTACAGAGGAAAAGGAACCATTCAAAGCCTTGCTCCAAGAAATCCCCGAAGACCTGTTTTAATTGCCATTGAGTCAGTCTCCAGTTCAGGGGGACTCCTGTGCATCCAAGCAGAACTGCGCTGCCCAAGGTTTGCGACAACTGATTTTCTGGGAAATAGAGCATAGATTGCAGGCCTCTCTTCTTTTTTTTTCTTTCTTTTTTTTTTGGGGGGGGGTACTCCCTTGTATGTTTATTTCCTTTAGGTGCTTTATACATAAAAAAAGTTAAAAAAAAAAAAAAGTCTCCCTCCCAAGAACCAGTTTTATTACCCTGAGGAAAACATCATTTCTGCTGAGAATGCCTGGTATAGATTCTACCATGACAAGCAGGATTTAAATTGTGTTTAAGTGGCTCTTTATTTTTTTATTTTATTTTTTTGCCTCTTCTATTTATTTTTTTTTTATTTTTTAACATTTTATTAGGGGCTTATACAACTGTTATCCCATTCCATACACACATCAATTGTGTAAAGCGCATTTGTACATCGTTTCTCAAAACATTTTCTCTCCATTTAAACCCCCGACATTAGATCCTCATTTTTCCCCTCCCTCCCCGCTCCCCTCTCCCCCTCCCGCATGAGCCTTTGATAGTTTATAAATGGGTATTTTGTCATATCTTGCCCTGTCCGACGTCTCCCTTCATCCACTTTTTGGTTGTCTGTCCCCCAGGGAGGAGGTCACACACAGTTCCATGTAATCGGTTCCCTCTTTCCTACCCATTCTCCCTTTACCCTCCCTGTTTTGCCACTCACACCACTGGTCATCCGTCCTGGATTCCCTGTATTTTCAGTTCCTATCTGTACCAGTGTACCTCCTCTGGTCTAGCCAGTCTTGCAAGATAGAATTCGAGTCATGGTAGTGGGAGCAGGGAGGAAACCTTTAGGAACTAGAGGAAGGTTGTATTTCTCATCATTGTTACATCGCACCCTGACTGGCTCATCTCCTCCCCGAGACCCCTCTGCAAGGGGATCTCCAGTGCAGGCCTCTCTTCTGAGGGATCTCTCGTGGACAGGAATCTCCAATCATTCCACAAATAGCCAAGCATATTAACTGTTGGCACCATCCAGGGACCCTATCTCTGAAGACCACACCAACAACAACAGAAAGAACAAACCCACAACCACCAAATCGATTACAGTCTAGGACAGAGTAGACCACAGGGGTCCCCAGGTTAGAGACCTTTGTGACAACAGACTGCCGCATTGCTCTCCACTGAGTTGTTAGTGGGTTCAAATCTTTGGTTTGCAGCCCAATGTTTAACCCCTGGTGCCACTGGGCTCCTCTGAAGACAGAGTTCAGTCAATCAACATAGCCTTTCCAGAACCACCTTTACATGCCAACATTTTGTCAAGAATGTGGTAAGGGGACAAATCCCTAGACATTTGGGCCACCACCACCCCCCCCAAAAAAACTATTTTGCTAAGTGTTTTCAGCTTCTAAGCATTGAACTATAAAAAGAAGCAGATGTACAAGCCAAAAAATAACTACATTTCATTGACTTCAGACCCTATAGGACAGCAGTTTTCAACCTGTGGGTCTTGACCCCTTTCACAGGGGTTCCACAATTCTTAACAGTAGCAAAATGACAATTATGAAGTAGCAACAAAATAATTTTATGGTTGGAGGGGTCACCACATCATGAGGAACTAACTGTATTAAAGGGTCATGGCGTTAGGAAGGTTGAGAACCACTGCTATAGCAGAAACAGTGATAAAATGCTACTATTTGCAAAGCAAAAAGAGGAACTAGTGATCTTCACTATCCCACACACACTGACCCTGGCTTGGCGTGCACACACTTTATAAAATGAACAGAATTATGTCAGATTCTCCTTGGAAAAGAGATTCAGCTTTTCCCCCCCGCCCACCTCTAAAAATTCGCAAGTGCTTAATAACTTGGTTGGAAACATTTAAGCTTTAGTTACAGCATTTTGGAATGAAGATTCCCTAGGAAATGGAATTCAAACCTTGGATTCAAATACGAAAGCCATAAAGAGAAGTTTCCTCTAGTAGAAAAACCCAATGCTCCACTGACTAAGAACTCATGTCTAAGGGAACAGCAGGACAGGATGGCCCGGGTTCCGTCGGTCACCGTGCTGAGGGCTGGCAAGACACGTCCATGGTCTAGGAAGTGTAGAGAACAATGTCCTCCTCCTGGCACCTCAGCATAGGCAAGGTCCTGAACCCCTACCGTCGAAAGACCTGTTTTTAGCCCATAAAACGTATCTGATCCACGGGTGAAAGGGGGCAGGCCCTGCAGGCCATGGGCTGTGAGGCCCCTCTGCAGCTGGTCCAGGGACACAGCCTTCTCCAAGGGAGCAGCAGTTGCTCTAGAAAGGAGAGAGTCCTGGTGGGAAAGAGGGGCCTGGAGGAGCGGGCAGGGGAAAGGGAAGCAGGCAATGAGACAAGGTTCTCTTGTCCATCGGGTCCCTGTGGACTGGAACTCAATCCTGCAGCCACCACCTGCTGGGTCGGGGAAATTATCAGACATGCAACCCTGAGACAGTTGCCTCTACTCTTTTTTTTCTTCCTCCTTTTAAAAATCATTTTATTGGGAGCTCGTACAACTCTTTCACAATCCATCCATCCATCGTGTCAAGCACATTTGTACATTTGTTACCATCATCGTTCTTAAAACATTTTCTTTCTACTTGAGCCCTTGGTATCAGCTTCCATTTTCCCCTCCCTCCCCCACCTTCCCTCATGAACCCTTGCTTATTTATAAGCTATTATTATTTTTTCATGTCTTACACTGACCGATGTTTCCCTTCACCCACTTTTCTGTTGTCCATGCCCTTGGGAAGGGGTTATATGTAGATCGTGGCGATCGGTCCCCCCCTTCCTCCCCCACTTTGCCCTTCCCCTCCTGGTACGGCTGCTCTCATTATTGGTCCTGAGGGGTTTATCCGCCTCTACGCTTCCATGAACGACTTACACCAGCAAATGAAAGAACAAAGATAATGCTCCCTTCCTCGTAGAGCCGCCTCCACTCCTTCCTTCCCAAGCACTTCACTCTTATTTTGCCAAACCTGCGTTCTCACTGCTTGCAGGAAGATAAGGAGTTCTTGTTTAAGGAGGTGGTGCTTGGTGAGGAAGAGGATTCATCTCAAAAGAGGAAGACCTTCAGGGAGCTCGATTGGCACAATGGGTACAACAAGGGCTGCAATCAAACAACAACTGTGAGGGGGCAGAAGACCAGCCAGTGTTTTGCTCTGTTGAGTGTAGGGTTGATACGAGTCAGATCCTCCTTGATGGCACCCAAGACCCACGATGGGTAGTGCACGTTGTTCACACGGCCCATGGCTAACCAAAGGACTGGAGGGTTGACTCCACCCAGGCCTCAAAAAAAAGGCCTCAACGTCTGCTTCTGAAAACTCTGCCGTTGAAAACTCTGTGGGTTAAAGGGGAGCTGAACATCAAGAGTTCAAGAAGAAAGAAAATGTTCCAAAACAGATTGCGGTAGCTATTGTACAATACTGCTTGATGTGATTGAACTATGGAACGTTATGATATCTGTAAGAGCTCCCAATAAAATGATCTAAAAAAAAAAAAAAGAAAAGAAAAGAAAACCCTATGGGACCATATTTGGAGCTGCCACAAGGCAGAATCTACTCTATGGTAACTGCGTTTAATTTGTTGTTTGACCGTTTTTTATTGTGCATTGGTGAAGGTTTACAGAGCGGATCATTTTTCCATTCAGCAATCCATACATATTTTGTTTCATCTCCTTGATTGTAATACCCATAATGCAGTATCACCTATCCCACTCCCTCCCTGTGTTTCCTGTTCCCATTGCTCTTTCTTTCCGACTCTTCCAAGCTTTGCCCTTGAATAAATGGTGCCTTGTGTGGAAGAACCCACTGGTGTTACTGTTCCCAGTACTGGCGTGCCTAGTGTTTGGCTGATCCTTGAGTGATGGGGGTGAGTTCATTTGTAAACTTGTGGGGTCATTAAGAACCATAGTCTCAGGAATCCACTAGTCTCTGTCAAAACAATAAAACTTACATTTTTCTTGACTTTTGAGTGTTTCTTGACTTTTGAGTTTTCTTCCACTCAATCCAGGACCTTCTAATGAGACCCACTTTCAGAGGGTACTTAGGTACCGGCTAACTCTTCTGGTACAAGGCTCATGAGGACTGATGTTCACGTGGCCCATTAGTCCACTGGACTAATTGTTTCCAATTTTCTTCAATTTTCGTCATCCTTCTTTCTTCCAAACAAGAAGAGGCAAATAGTTGCTTAGATGGCTGGTCATGAGCTTCTAAAACCCTAGTCACTATTCACCAAAGTAGGATATAGAATATTGTCTTTGTAGACAATGTTATGAATGACAACCGGTCTCATTATCGTTGAACTAAGACCCATACCTGGCCAACTGTAGTTGCCCTAAGTTGTCTCCATTAATATTCGAAGCTGTCGGTGTTCTAAGGAGTGCGACATAAAGTGACTAAAGTCAAAACAAAACGGCCTTAAGGAAACATTCCAAAAATTAAAAACATACAGCTGACTTTCTGCCATTCATTGACCCTTCTCAATCTTCTTCTGGATTCAGCATCCAGATGTCAAGGAACCCAGCTTAGCCTGATATCAAAATCCTCTTCAGGTGTCACTCGATGCAGCTGCCAGGGCAGACTGCACATCAGACCACGTGAAAGGAACCTTGGCCTGGTTTGCTGAAGCTGTTGAGGCGGCCCTCTTTCTAATAGTCTCTGTTGTCTGAGGTACTTGTCCACTTGCCCCTATGCTTTTGTAAAGAACGAGGCAGCAACCACTAATGCCACTTTCGGCCCACATCCTCATACCCACGTGATGACTTCATGTGTCTGCCAAGGAAGGCCACTTGTCTCCACCATCGCGCCTCTCTCCCCAGAGACTGGGGCTGCTTTGCATGAAAGATGTTCCCGGCCCATTGTTAGGGCAAAAGCATGAGTGTTGTCTTCCAATGCCCGGCTACTTCCGGGCCTACTTTTCACACCCAGAAACGGACGGTCTGCACACAATCTAATCAAGTGAACTCAACAAGGAGTCTAACCCATTTTCACCACAGAGAGAATCGAGGGTGTATAGATAATTCTGCGTGAGCTCACTGGCTTCTACCAAAGATGGCACCTTCTGCCATCTGTCAAAGGTTACACTTTCTGTCACAGATTGCACCCAGGCCTTTGACCAGACGGCTCTGGCCAATGACGTAGATGACGGTGGTGAGCTAGGTGACTGTGGGAACATATGCCCTGGCACACGGCCACCATGAGACATGTAAATTCAGCAGGGTCAGAGCTTCCAGATTTCCAAGAGAAGCCAGAAACCTTCTGACGTCTAGTGAATTTTAAGGCACTGCTTAGACCCCATCAGAGCAGTGTGTGGGTGAGGGAAGCACCGTGGGCCCTCAGTCAGACAACCCCGGGAAGATGTAAAGATGAGGAGGAGGGACCAGCAAAGAGAACACTTGTGCTTTCTGGGCCAGAGTCCAGAAGGAGCCCAGGGAAAGGGGTTGTCTCTCCCTAGGAAGGAGACAAGTTTCTAAAAATGGGCATTGCTGCTTTCTCCTTCAGCTTTTAAATAAAAGGTGGGTGGGGGTGGGGAAGGGGGTAGGTGGCCGGGAGGTGGGATGCGTGCAGTGAGCGCCATGCTCATTGAGTCTAGCTGTCTGAGGGGCATATGTAGGCAATGGAACGTGCCCTCACTACAAATCGAAAATGCCCAGATAAGATTCACAAGGTGGCCTTTCCTTTGTAGTTCTGTTTCAATGAGAGACCCAAGGCCTTTAAGGTTCACACTGGGCAGTGGGTCAGAATAGGATGGTTCTTTCCATCTTAATTCATTTGGGGAAATGAAAGAGCTTCTTTGGATTACGGAGCAGCATAGCCAGCCTGTGGTGAAAGCCACTAACCCCCTCCGGTTGCTAAGAGACCCATAATTTAATCCCCTCTCTGATTAACACGTGGACCTCAGCAGAAAGGAGAGGAAATGAAAGAGATTTTGAGAAAGCTTTGAAAATCATGCCAAATTCAGCCACTAGAACATCTCATCTTTTAGATAGAAAGCCCCGTGGGAGGTGAGAGACGGCCCTCCCCCGGTTTTGTCCTCACACTGCGGCTGGAAAAGAAAAGACATTGAGTTAAAATAGCCTCGAGAGAAAGTTCTCGTGTCCAGCCAGAAACCCTTCAAGTCTTTCTTTCTCTAAGTCTCCCTCCGCCGGAAACAGTGCACGTACCTCCGGAACTTGGTTGTCCACTGGGAGAAGGGTTATGTTAAAGCAGATGCCATGCAAAGTGCCGCCACGTTGGTTACTGACGGCCAGTGTGAACTGGACGTGTCGGAGGTGGGGACCTATGTCTCGCATGGGCGGCATATAAGCCACTTTCATGTAGTTCACAGCATGCTGCAAGGCAAGGAAAGATGGACAGGTGGGGGTGAGAATCAGTACCTGTCAGAGACCCACCATGCTAACTGGTATTAAGCATCATCGCCAATTTGAGCTCTGTTTCATAAATCACTTTTCCTATAAATCAGGGGTGAGAGGGATAAAGAGGGTAAGTAAATCCCCATGGATCCAAATGTTTGGAGCCTCCCAATTCTACGAAAGACAGGAGACTTGCATCGCAAACCAGCTACTTGCATCGCAACTACTGCCACATAGCAGCAAAACCGGTCAAGAGGCTTCCTTACCTGTACAGTGAATAAAATAATAGTACCTACCACACAGGGTTGGCATACCTAGTTACAATCTGTAATCATAATGAAGTCTGATATGACTAACCCCAGAACACAGAGGTAGACCCTTGCTGTGTCGGTAGGAGCAGGCAGATGGCTGGGAAGGGAAGGATTTGGGACAGTAAAAGGATATCAAGTGAACGGAATCTGATGCAATAAAAACTTATTCACCGTGTCTCCAGAGTTGGCAAGAGTTGGTGGTGAATTATGACAAGATTTTGAAATCACATCCAGCTTGATCAAGCATTTTCACATAGTTGTCTCACCCATTGAGGCAGCATTTGTGACCAAATGTCAAAGGTCAACATGCCTGACTGTGACACTGGCAAGGACATAGCTACTCAGAGGGCACTGAATCATGTCTGTCAAGAGCCCAGCGTGTCATCATACCTGAGAGAATGACCTCAGCTTCAGGGATGCAGGGTTTTTGGTTAGCTTTGGTATGCTGTCCACCAGGAATAATTTCCCAGCATCCAAATGGCTAAACAAAGAGAATAAACAAGCTCAGTTTCCAAGTAAGAAAAATGAAAGCAAATAGCTGACAACCAAACTTCCCACACCTAGAAGACACTGCTGTGGGAAGTCATCACATCCTCCACCTTGTGTTGGTGGTGGTGGTGGTGGTGCGATCGAATCTGCTCAGACCCATAGCGACCTTATGCAAAACAGAATGGCATTGGCTGCCCCGGCACCATCCTCACCATTTCTGACCGTATTCTGCTGCCATTCATTTGGCCTTCAGTATCTGACACTGTTTGGGAGCTATGCGTCAGGTTTTCCATGACGACTCCCTCTGAAGTGGGCAGCCACGGCCTTCTCCGTTGTCTGTTTAGTCTGGAGGCTCCGCTGACACCTGTTCACTGTGGCTGACCCAGCTGGCCTTTGAGATACCAGTGACATAGCTTCCAGCATCACAGCACCACACAAGCCATCACAGTATGCCAAACTGAGAGACAAGGGGTGGCCTCCATCTGACAGTCCCCTCTTTACTGAAGGTGGGGGAGATAGACTTAAAAGGCGTCCTGCTTGCACGGTGATTAAGCATTTGGCTTTTAACCAAAAGGCCAGTTGTTCAAACCCACTAGCTGCTCTGAGGAAGAAAGGTATGGCAGTCTGTTTTCAAAATAAAGACTGATAGCCTTGGAAAGCATAGCCCTGGGGCTATGCTACTTTGTCCTGCAAAGTCACTGGCAGTCGGAATCTTTTGGTGTTTTTGTTTTTTCAGACATAAATATTATGCCTGCCATGCCTGAAAAAAAGCATGCTAGAATTTCCTGCCTCAATGTCACAAATGGGAATCCTTAATCTCATCCTGAAGATGATTCCTTGTTATTGTGCGCCCATTGACATTGGCCTGCAGGATATTCATGCCACTTCTGTGCACTGGGGACATAGACTAGGACGCGATCACGGTTTACAAAACTAAAAATAACTGTTTTTCCAAAAACTAAAAAATACAGCATTTTCTCTAGAAAAGGGGAGGTAAAAACCATTAATTCTATCTAAATCAAAGATCTCGTAAACTACTGGGTCACTTATCAATCAGTATCATTTTTGAAGTAAAGTACGAGATATATTTGAGACCAAAAAAAACCCCCAAACTCACTGCCGTCCACTCAGTTTTGACTCAAGGCGACCCCTGTAGGACAGGAAAACTGCCCCTGTGGATTCTGAGAATGCAGCTCTTTATGGATGTAGAAACTCTCATCTTTGGAGCGGCTGCGGATTTCAAACCACTAACCCTCCTGGGTAGCAGCCCAATGTGTAACCACTACGCCTCTCAGCTCCTTTTGAAACAAACCAAAAAATCCAACCTCACTGCATTGAGTCGATGCCAACTCATAGTGCCCCTAGAGGGCGGGTAGAACTGCTCCCGTGGGTTTCCAAGACCTTCACGCTTTTGTGGAGTAGAAAGTCCCATTTTGCTCCAATGGAGAGGAAAGTGAACACTAAATTGTGAGGAGGCATTCGTGTCTGATTAACAACGAAGACCACCACAGTACCATATCGACTCCTCGGTTGGCATTTTCAACTCTCCAAGCCCAGAACCCAACGCTCAGCTGGCGACTTCCTGAAGACGTACCTGCGGCTAAAGGAGAAAAATGGCGGAGTCGTTACTGTGTAGAGCAGCTCTGTGTCATAGGATTCCGTATCTACAAAGTATAGTTGCTTCTTGGTTATGTATGCCACCTCGGTTTCCTTGACAACCAAATACCGAGATGCCCCAGGAGCCTCTTTTGGAAGTTGGTCGTCCACTGGAGTGATGTGAATTATCACCACCTGGAATGAAAATATTTGCACCGTGAATTTGAACCATCAAAGTTCAGGTGATGTCCAACACCTGTACAAGAGGATACAGGCAGTCCCAGGGTTCCAACAATCTGACTTCCAGACTTGACCTTTGCTGAGGTGGAAATTTCCCCTCACTTTGAAACAATCGAGTCAAACCCTAGACACTCCTGTTTTAGAGTCGATTGCAACACACAGTCCACAGCCAGAGAGGACAGAGTAGACCTGTCCCACGGGGTTCCCAAAGCTCTAAGTCTTAAAGGAGCAGACTGCTACATCTTTCATGGAGTGACCAGTTCAAATGACTGACCTTTCAAATGAGCACCCAAGCATGTTAACCCCTACGCCACCAGTGAATGTGCCTTTGCTTGGGTCAAAGTAAGGCTGAAAAGAACCATTTGCACTCGGTCTGGCTCACCTACAAACTCTTAAGGACACTATTAGGAAAAGCGCTCACTCATGACCTGGGAATTGTGTACATTTATTGAAATGATTCAGTAGTTATTAAGAGCATAAGCCAAGAATGGCATATCCTTCACTTTATTTTAAGAATATGATTATCATAATAACAGATGATCCAGTTGACGAGCCCTATAGAATGGGCAGCTAAAACACAGATTATGTTTCTGCCTTTATTTTTACATCTTCCATCCACTAACAACCTCTGCTGTCTTTGGAACGTCCCTCCACTCAGTCACCAATCCCAGCATGTCAAGGAACACAGCGGCTACTGCCTCCTTCTCCGTCAGAGTCTCCACTTAACAAAGTGCCCTTTACGCTGGCCACACTCCATCCCCGCCCCAAGCGCCATTCCCATCATTGGTAGGCTAGCTCTGGCTCTCAATTTTTCTTCTGTAGATTATTACAACAGCTTTCTAGCCGTTCACCATAATTCTAGTAGCTAATCTAGACTTTTCACACCTCCAGGAGCCCTGGTGGTGAGCTGGTTACAAATTGGCCTGAGATTTGCAAGGTCAGCAGTTCAAAACCACCACCCTCTCCTCAGGAGAAAGACGAGGATTTCATAAAGCGTTTCAGTCTCAGAAACTCACAGGGGCAGTTCTACCCTGTCCTTTAGGGTTGCTATGAGTTGGCATTGGCTTGATGGCCATGATGGCACCATGAACATTGGGCTGCTTGCTAATCAATCGCAAGGTCAACCGTTCAAATCCACCAGCCAGTCTGTGTGGGAAAAGATGAGGCTACCTGCTCCCGTAAAGATTTACAGTTTCAGAAACTCTAGATAGGGTGACTATGAGTCAGAACCGACTCCTTGACAGCGGGTTTTAATGCCAGAGCCCTGATGGGACAACAGTGACGTGCTCCACTGCTACCTGAAAGGACAGGTGTTTGAGCCCACCCGTGGCTCCACAGAAGAAAGTGCTCTGTCACATGAGGTCACTAGGAGTCACGATTCAAGGTGTTATCTTGAGAGCTCCTGTGGGGCACAAATGACTCAGTGCTCTGTGATTCACTGAACCACCTGGTCGTGCAAGTCCACCAAGAGGCATCTCAGAAGAAACACCTGGCGCTCTACTTCGGGAATACCACAGCCACGGAAAATGCACTGGAGCGTCATCGGGGACAGGGAGAACCATCCACTGGAACTCACTTGATAGCCATGGCGGTCCCAAGTTTTTAGTGTTATCTTTAAAAACCTCCGGGTCAAACCAAGTCATTCACCACCTCGATAACGAAGAAGTCAAACTAATGACCCAGGAGTTACATTGTTGTTCTTGGTAGGTGCTGTCAAGTTGGTTCCGACCCATAGCGACTCAGTGCACAACTACCTGATCCTGTAAAATCCTTACCACCGCTGTAATGTTTGAGCCCATTGTTGCAGCCATTGGCTGCTAACTCAAAGGTTGGTGGTTTGAGTTTGAACGCACCAGCAGCTTTCGAGGGTCTCTTTCCTTTATTTGCAAAGTGAAGACGAATACCAACCACCTCACGGGGTTTTCAGGAGGATCAGGTATCTCCATCCATGTAGGAAGATACCTGGCACATAGTAGGAGTTCAGCAGGTAAGTTAAGATGCTTTGTGGGAGAAAAGATCTGATCATCTGTTTCTTGTCGAGATGGCAGCCTAGAAACCACCATTGGGAGGCTCTGCTGTGTCACCTGGGGTCGAGATGAGTCAGAAATCGATTGGACGGCACCCGCCAACCTGGGTCTGAGCACAGTCTCCCTTGTGAAGGCATTCTTACCCTGGTTTTGATCGATTCTACTGTCACTGAAGCACAGGTCAGCCTTGCCTCTTTTAAGCAGTGTTCACAACATCCAATTTACAACCCGAAGCAAATTCCTTTTGAAATAATTGAAGTATAGAGCCACACCTACAGCCTGGCTAAATGTGTGCGATGGCGCAGAAAAGACTCTGGACCATCAACCATGGCAGCTCCAAGCCGTTCTCCCGGGTGGATCATGTAACCTCTGTGTGTCAGCACAATGGCTCTTACCCCGATTTGCTATCAGGATCACACGAATGGCCAGTATGACAGTGAGGACTGTGGTGAGCACTTCACTCGATCCCTGGTCCCCTCCTTCCATTCATTTTACAAACGCATACAGCATGCTTACTGCTCCATTATGAAGCATCCCCATCATTAAAAACTAAAGCCAGTTCTTGACAGAAAGGACACAATGGCAGTCGTCTCTCCAGTCTCCTGGAATCTGTGTCACATTCTCCCCCCTTCCAATTATAGTATTTTGCTAATCTACAAAGTTCAGAAATTCTCTATGGGACCGCCCAGCCATAGTGTGGATCAGTGAGGCTCCACTTAATTGAAAAACTGGATTTAATAAGGAAACAATAGTTATTGTGCCTTCAAAGAGACCGTTTTCTATGCTAATTTATTCTCCAATGCGTTCTTTGTGTAAAAAGAATGTTTAGGCATGCTTTTTTTATACCCCTATAGTAATTCTTGGTGGGCACATTTTTCAACATGCTTTATGACCGTCTGAGTTGATGTGTCTTTACATATTTATGCATGTTCAAGCAGTTCTTATGTGTGTGGCTGTAGATGAGGAAAAATACCCCATTTTGCTCAATTCCACAGAGGAATAAAGTGCTCTCAATGTCCTCAAATGTGTTGTAATAGAGGCATTAAACACCAGCTCCCAGACAAGCAGATGAACGTTAGTGTTCCAACCACACAGTCTTGCTTCCCTGCCCCCACCCCCACCCCCATGCAAATCGACTTGTGGTCACTTGCACCTGTCGACAGAATATAAAGCGATGAATCAGGGTATCAAATTGGAACCTTCAGCATCAAGCTCGTAAAAGGACACCGGGCCTGCCGGTGGCCAACTTCAGTGGATAGGCCAGGGTTCTTGAGCCCTTGTCTGCCCTGATGGTGATTCCTACCTGCTCTTTCAGATCTGTAACTCCCTTTTAGACTATCCATTGCCATTTCTCACCCCCCTAGAAATCAGCGCCAGTACTAGCTTGGCCCGCCCCACAGGCCGGTCTGACTTCCAGCCACTGTGGATCCCAGAGGGCCTGCTCACTCTCGGAGCTGTGGATGGCTCCCTCCCCACGTCTCCTGCAGCCTGGCATCTTCCTCCGCCTCCCCTCCAAGTCCTCGCCCTCTCTCTGTTTCTCTCCCATCCTTATGGCCTGCTCTCCACTTCACTTTTAACATTATTCTCTCCCGGTGGAAGGGCTCTTAAGAGCTTAAACTCTCTAAAGGCCTCTATCGTGTAGATTGGAAGAGAAACTATCTTGCCAAAGCCAATCAATGAGCAAGGTTTGACTTCATGACAATCATGGTAAGCAAGATGGGAAGAAGAGGGATGGTTTCATGCTGACAAGCAGGCATCTTAGGGATGTGGGTGCATTTGCCATGGAGTATGCAGATGGGAAATATGAGGGAGGGTGACGGGCACTTCCTTTTTATGTAAGCTCCTTCCTGCTTTAATTAGATCTGTGGTCCCCTGGCAAAATCCTGTGTCCACTTCTGTGAAAAGGAATGTTCTGACCAACCAGCAACCTGCCATGGAGTCTCTACTGCCCCATAGCAATGGTATGAGAACAGCTCCAAGGAATTCTTTTTTTCTTTCAATCGTTTTATTAGGGGCTCATACAACCCTTATCTCAATCCATAAAGACATCAATTGTGTAAAGCACATTTGTACATTCATTGCCCTCATCATTCTCAAAACAGTTGCTCTCCACTTAAGCCCCTGGCATCAGGTCCTCATTTTTCCCCCTACCTCCCTGCTCACCTTTCCCTCATGAGCCCTTGATAATTTATAAATTATTATGTTGTCATATCTTGCCCTGTCCGACGTTTCCCTCCACCCACTTTTCTGTCGTCTGTCCCCCAGGTCACATGTAGATCCTTGTAATCTGTTCCCTCTTTCCAACCCACTTTCCCTCTACCCTCCCAGTATCGCCACTCACACCACTGGTCCTGAAGGGATCATCTGCCCAGCTCCAGGGAATTCTGAGGGGTCGAGCCTGACTTTAATCTTTGGAAAACCATCCACCTTCTCATAAAAAAACCTGCCATCAAGTCATCTTCTTATATTTGTCTCGTCTGAATTTTCAGTTGAAGAGTTGGAAGTTACAGATTTGTTGAATTTTTTAAATATACTTTTATTTGTAGGGCATGATTAGATACTTGTCCCAGATTGGGGATCATTTAAGTCCTCTGAGTTTCTAAAGTATCACCAATTTTACAACATAAAATGCTTGCAAATACACACAAATACTGCTGTGTTGGTATATACACACTAATCCCTGGACTCTCAGGAGAATAAACATTATATATGTTGTCTACCAAGTTCACTCACTCTTCTACTCCCAACCAAATGTTTGAGTCATCTCATTTCTCCTCGTTTAAATACATGTCAAAAGACCCGGAGTTCATTTGGGAGAATGCAGATAGTTCTGAAAGGTTTAACTCTTGAGTTATGTATCAAGATCTAAAGATACAGAGATGAATAATCCAGGGTTCTGGGATTCAAGGAGCTCAGAGTTGAACCAATAAACTCTATAAGAGCCTCAGACTATAGTAAGTTAAATAGCAGAGATATATAAAAAGATACATCCTAGAGAAGCAAAGCCAGTCTAGGAGGTTGTGCAATGGAGGCATCTGAGAAGGATTCTGTGTAGCTGAGAACAAGTCCACAGCCCAGAGAGGAGCTAAATGAAGACTACCAAAAATTCAGAAGGGCAGAATGGATGGGGGTGGAAGGCAGAAGACCCCAGATTAATTTTTTCAGCCATACTGCTACGGTGTCAGCAAATTTCAATTGTCTCCAATGAACAAGAGATGTATTTGTAAGAGCCTCCGTGAGAGATCCTGAGAATAATTTAGCCCAGAACAGATGAGGGAAGGCACTACAGCCAGGGTGGTGGGAGGGGGCAGTAGAAGAGACCTACTTAGTTGGGGAGAGGGATTATGCAGATGTGAGGGGGCTTCAAAAAGTTCTTGGGAAAATCCCATTTTGTTCTCAACAACATTTTAGAAACCCCCTTGTATGAGAGAGAGGAGTCAGGAATGACTTCAGAGCAGCGGTTCTCAACCTGTGGGTCGCGCCTCCTTTGGGGGTCAAAGGACCCTTTCACAGGGGTCGCCCAATTCATTACAGTAGCAAAATGAAAGTGATGAAGTAGGAACGAAACTAATTTTCTGGTTGGGGGGTCACCACCACATGAAGAACTGCATGAAAGGGTCATGGCATTAGGAAGGTTGAGAACCACTGCTTCAGAGTCTCCCTGCAGTAGTGTCTTGTCCAAGGTTGGGGGGAAACAGACTAAACATTTTTGGACATGGGGAAATTGAAATGCTAGTAAGACATCTGTGTCAAGATGTCAGATGCAGCAGTGAGAACCTGAAAACAGAGCAAAGCTGTCAAACTCCCTCTCTGAGCCCACACTACAACGATGAGAGTAGAGAAAAATGCAATTGTGATTTCATCATCGGAAATAAACACATAATTGTAGAACTCAGTCAGTTTCAATAGAGTCTTCATTACCATGGCTTTTATTATAAAGGAATTAGATCTTTATATTTGTTTGTATTAAAATATGATCTATAAAATATATAATAATCCAAGAGGGTAAGAAGCAAAGTCCTGGACTATCCATTTTTCAAAAAGTCAGATAAAAGTGACATGGTATTCTAGACAGAAACATAACTCAGTCTGAATAGATACAACAGAAGATGGAAATAAATAGTTAACATTTGGGATATCAAATCCACCAAGATCTACTCTAGAGAGTGGAGCAAGCACATCCCGGACCACCAAGCCTTCAGGATGATATTCCTGATTAGAGCAGCCAGTCCACAGAGAGGACCACATGGCCGGCAACACTATGAGACACGACGTCCCTCACTGACCCATAGCCCTACAGAGGACAACACCAGAGACACTGTGTGGGAATTGCACCCAACCTGATCCCACCAAACACTAAGGGGGTGCAACAGAACATCAAGGCAACAGTGGCGAGGTCCCCAGGGAATGCCGAAGGTGAACTTTGGGGCCAGGGCTTGTTCCCAAGACTGGACTGGAAAACACTCCTAAAGGCCAACAAACAGTCCTTGAACTAACTACAAGCTGTTCTTTTTTGTTGTGTTTTGTTTTGTTCTTTGTCATTGGTC